TAACTTGAGCTACACTGCAAAACTCAAGGTCAAATGTTGTCCTAAGCATGGCTCAATCCATACAGCCATGTCTAGAATGGAAGACCATAAAGAACCTCTCAGAGAAGAGTCACAGAAACACTTGTCAAAAGATGTGTTTGTGACACTGCTCTTTGGTGGAGCTCAGGGCTTATGACTTCAGGTTTACCTAGGCTACTTTTAAAGCAGTGAGTACTTAAACCAGGTCTATTCTTTTGGTCCTGAACCCCGTGAGCATGCTTAGTCCTCATCTGTACCACCAGTGATCTTTCCTCCTTCAAAGGAGGTTTAACTTCATCTATCCTGCTTGTTGGGGCTTCTACCTGGCCTTTGCTGCCCCTTGAACCATGACCAGGCATTTCTTGGGGTCCTAATTACAGTTTATCAGCATCTCTGGCCAGCAGATGGTGTCCTGCATGTTTGGTTTATGTTCTACCTGGCCTTTGTTGCCCCTTGAACCATGACCAGGCATTTTTTGGGGTCCTACTGACAGCTTATCAGCATCTCTGGCCCACAGATGGTGTCCTGCATGTTTGGTTTATCAACGTGGATGCAAGGAGAAGGGCTGAAGGACAGTCCCAGCTGACTAAAACCTGATAGCCACCCTGCTGGGCAGAGATCCATATTTTCATCCTTCCCTACAAGCCCCATCTGATTCATAATGGAAGATAAATGAGGAATATGGAAACTAAAGGTCAGAACTAGGGCAGAGCTGTTGGCCAACACAGGCTTCTTCCTTCCAGAGTGTTTATTCTCTGGTGTTTTCTCTTTCCTAATGCACTTGTTCCACCTTTCACGGATGGGTAGGTTTACCTGGAGGTAGGAAAGGGAATCTGAGGTTTCTTTTCCCAACCCCACTGATTTCCACATGGCCTCCTATCCTCAGCAGAGCACTCCAGGAGATCACTTGCAACTTGGATAGTTTCCAAGGGGAGTTACAGAGGCAGGTGTCAAAACTGATGAGAGCACTCCTTACCCTGGGCAACCCTTGGAGATGGGGCTGTCTGGTGATGACATTTCCTCACCCCGCCCTGGCTGTGGGAGCCCTGACAGATGAAGGTCTTCCTTTGTTGGATAACTTCTATTTGCCCTGGCTGTGACAGATGAGGGTCTTCCTTTGTTGGATAACTTCTATTCACAAGGGTTTGGAGTGACAGGATGAGGGGTAATGGCTTTAAGCTAGAAAAGGGCAGATTTAGGTTAGACATTAGAAAAAAGTTCTTCAATATGAGGGTGATAGACCACCAGAATGGGTTGCCCAGAGAGATGATGGAGGCCCCGTCCCTGGGGACATTCAAGATCAGGCTGGATGAAGCTCTGAGTAGCTTGATCTGGTTGGACATGTCTCTGCTTATGGCAGGGGGGTTGGACTAGATGACCTTTGGAGGTCCCTTCCAGCCCAGATATTCTATGATTCAATGATTCAATGATTCTATGAACTCTTCTCCCTTCAGCCCCTGCATCCCATTGCTTCCACCACAGTTCTGCAGAGGGAGAGCTCACCCAGGCAGAGTAATGCTGGTTTGATTTGGGATGGCCAAATCTGCCTAGGGTGAACCTTCCTGGGTTCCCTTCCCCTTCATATGGTGTTCAAAGCCAACTCCTTCATCAGCTCCTTCTGAAGCCTGGGAATGCTCCTTTCCAGTTTCCTTCCTCCCTGCTCCCTGAAGTCCCACGAAGAGCTCTGCTGGCTGCAGCTGGAAGAGGCAAAGGGAAGGCAAGAAGGGTGTCTCTGAAAGCTGTTTCCTTCTGGTGACACTGCAGGGAATGAGGACTCCATCTGTATCCCCCCATCTTAAACTGAGCTAAGAAAGATGTTATAAAGGCAAGAAAATCTACCCAATGAAGGGCTGTAGCTGGTAGGAATTGGCTTTCTCAGGAAATCAGTCCTTGCCTGAATGAAGGGACACAGTGCCTGGAAACCTCTGTTCTGCCAAATGTTGGATGGAACATCTGCATGGGTCACCAAAGGGGAACTGAGCAAATGCCTCGTGAGCACCAAGGCTGAAGACTGTGGCTCTGATGCTTCTAGATGCTTCAGGACCTGGTCTCCTGCAGCACTGAAATGGGTTCAGTGAGGTGACATTATTTTATTGAGGGTGATGTTTTTATAGCAGGTTTAATATGCAAGATGGGACTACAGGGACCAACCAAGGTAACACTGAACCCTCAAGGGCTGCTTGCACAGGGTTGTGTCTATGAGGGTGTTTTTAGGCTCCCTTCCTTAAGTGATATAGAAGATACAATCTGTGGACCATTCTGAAGAGCTCCTGTTAGTTTTTCTGTTCTTCTTACTACTGGAGCTCCTGACTGCCAAGTTCTAGCACTGAAAACCACTCAGATGCTGCTAGATGTGACAGTTTCAGGTGTGTTGGGTTTACTTCTTTATTTGCTTTGTTTAGTTTTTCCTTCTCTTCCCATTGGACTGGGAGAGGTGGTTGGACACTTTGCAATCAACCTCTACAAATAAATATCACCCATTGCTGATGCAACCAATCCTGATATCTGTTGGTTGGGTTCATGCTCTTCTTTCATTTCTTCTTCTCTAGTGGCAACACGCCCATTGCAGTGTGGGGAACCCACCTAGACCTGATCCAAAACCCTCAGATCCGGGCAAAGCACGGCGGAAAGGAACATGTCAATGTGAGTATGGTTGATCAGCTGGGGATCAATCACAGGAGGGGACGTGTCCAAGGTGGTGATAGGGGCTCTCTGACAGCTCTGGAGGTTGAAATCTCCTGTTGCATCCAGAAAAGCAGCTATGACTTCTTTTTCAGAAAGTGTCCCATCTTCTCTTCATAACTAGAACCCAACTCAGGTTGTTAGTTGAGTGTGCTGGGATCAGAAGGGACTGTGAATAATACTCTTGGGTACCACTGTGGCCACTTCTGGGATTATTTGGGATCTTGGGAAAATGTATCTAGGTTTAACCAGCTGGATTTACAACCTAATTCAACTTTAAGTGACCACTAAGGAATCAGAAGCAGCTTTGTGGAGATCAACAGAGCTTAACCAAGGTCTGGGAGGACATTCATTTGAAAGGAGCTGTTATCAGTAGCTGCTGAGCTGTTACTGATAGAGCTGTAAAAAAGTGTGACTTAAACACCTCCAATCAGGAGATTCAGGAGCAGGAAGCACCTGCTGGTATCTACAGGAGGTTGGAAGATAGGGCCATGCAACAGCATCTGAAAAAGTGTTGGCTCTGTCTGGGACTAAGTGTGAAAGACCATCCCAGAAGAAAAGGCTCCAAAATTAAAAAATAGACAGGGACTAATTGAGGTGGGGGCAGAAAGTTGAGATCCTGCCAGTTTCTCAGGTTTTAAGATTAATTTGTGGGCTTTCCACCCAAGGTTCTAAAAGCACTTAGCAGCCCTTAAAATAATCTGCTGCTCCATGAGCAATGGTGAAACTGTGGTAGATACAAAAAGAAAACACAGGGATATGAGGTGGATTAATTTGCATCTGCAGTTTGCAGATTGAGCCATTTAACTTTTGGGTTTATCCCAGCTCTGCCACGAATTAAAATCTCTCTTCATAAAGCCAACTGCAAAGCAGCTTTGCCACCTCTCCCACCTCACCAGATCCAGGACATATCTGTTGAGATTGGTGGCTGAGTCTGACATGGATCTTGACTGGCAATCTTCCAGTCCCTCGTGAACTTTGAGTGCACCCTGGTGGGACTGACTGTGTGTGTTCAGAGGTGTGTTTTGGCAATACGTCGTGTTTCCTGGCACAGCACAGCCAAACACTTCCCCAGCTTTCCAGCATGACTTCACCCCATTCTTCCAGCAGACTCCAGCTCTTGTCTGACACAGTGGTCTCAAACAATCATGCCATTGTGCAGGTGATGAAGTCTATTCATCATCTCAAACAGGCTCATGTGGAACTACCCATTAATTTTGCACTGGGAGGTAGTCTGGTGCCTTTTTTTTTTTCTTGTAGGAGCTGTCAGAGCAAAGAACATCTGACTTGACAATATGAAACTGGCTGGTTAAGGTCATTTATCTCTCTATCAGTTTGACCCAAAGCATTGGCAATCCCTTGAGCTACAGTGGCTTGGGTAAAGAGTCTGCTCTCAGTGATGGAGGTATCCAACTAGTTTGGAGAAGATTCTCCTATCAAGCAGAGCTGGGATACCATGGAGCTGTTGGTGTTTCCCCACAGAGCCTGATGGGTCCTGGTGAGACCAGGATTCGTTGTGCTGACAGCCACACCGTAGAAATGTGAAGGCTCAGATCCTAAAGGACAACCAGACATCTAATTCCTGGTTATTTACAACGGGAGTCAGGTTAAAACACTTTTCACAACCCATGTCTCAAATGCTTGAAAGAAGCAGGGCTTTGGCAGGGCTGGAAGCCAGCTTCAGGATCTCCTGAGACCAACCCTGCTGTCTTCACTACTCCAGCTTCCCAGGCTTCATTTCAGTTACCCTGATGGTCAGACAGGTTTCCTAGGCACAACTGAGCATCCATTGGCCAGACACTTTTGGTGTGAACCTCAGTTTGGGAGCTACAGTCAGGGTGGTATTGAGGTGTTGACTAGTCTCTGCTGTATAAAAATAAAAGGAAGAACTTTCTGCTTCCAGAAGGAAATGAGGTTAGGAGAAGACACTGGCACTGGCCACCTCAGAGGCTGAGATCCCTCTGGGAAGAGGCACAAGATGCCAAATTACAGTGAAACTGCTCCACACACACCCCAGCAAAGCTTTCCTAATCCCTTCCCAGCCTTGATGGTGTGAAGGGTTGTGTGATGGGGGATTCCTCCCTGTCCTCTGGCAGTAGGAAGGCTAACGTTTCACTGGGAGGTATCTCCCCTCCAGAAGGGCTGGTGGAATTGCCCATGACTTCTCTTTGTGTTGGGTTTCTTCCTCCAGAACTGCGAGGTGCAGAACAGCACGGAGATGACCTGCCAGGCTCCAGCGTTGGCTGTTGACCCCAATCACCAGTCTGAGCTTGCTGAGCGTCCAGAAGAGTTTGGCTTCATTCTGGACAACGTCCAGTCTCTGCTGATTCTCAACAAGACCAACTTCACCTACTACCCAAACCCAATCTTTGAGGTTTTCAATCCCTCAGGGATCCTGGAGCTGAAGCCAGGAAGTCCCATCATACTGAAGGTGAGATGGGGATCAAGGATGGGATGAGGAAGGACAAACACATGATGCCTATAGCCTCTCTGTGCCTACCAACAGTCCTTGCCAGAAATTTCCTTCACTTGTTGCACCCACCTTATCTTATCAGTCACCATCTGCAAACTTCAATCACTGCTCAGCCTCTGCCAACGCCCATAACTAAAAATATAAACACCTCCTGCAGCTACCTGTGTGCAGCCTAAATTTGTACCTACTTCTCCTCACCAGAGCACGTTTGCTACCACTGCAACAGGTCTGCCAATTAAATATCTATTTCTTGGGTCTACACGACCTTCCTCTCCCCCCTGGTTAAATCCTGCACCAGTCCTTTGTCAGTTGTGTCATCTGGACAGCAACACAGAGAAGGAATTTTATGATGGTGAACCACAAATGTCAAGTGCAATGTTAAGACTTGTGTTACAGGCACAAGGGAGAAGTCGAAGGGAAATTGTTTCCTGATGTGGTTTTGGGGTGATATTCTTTTCTCTCTAGGGCAAGAACCTGATCCCACCAGTGGCAGGAGGGAACGCCAAGTTGAACTACACTGTTTTGGTTGGTGAGAAGCCCTGTGCAGTGACCGTATCAGATGTGCAGCTGCTGTGTGAGTCCCCAAACCTCATTGGAAGGCACAAGGTGATGGTAAGTGGTGCTTAAACCTTGGCTTTTCCCCCCTTGGTGGGTTGGGAGGGTACAGCAGTGCTGAAGAGCTGGTAGAGATCTCCCAGGGCTTTGCATCACCGTTTGCCTTCTGTAATTCCTAGAGATATCCCCATCAGGTGTAATCTGGTAGAAGTAGAAGAGTAGAAAAGCAACCTGGAGATCTTTATGGGCAGAGAGAAACCTTTGTTAATCAAGACCTGCATCACCATTTGCCTTCTGTAATTCCTAGAGACATCAGGGCTCCTTTGTGATAAAATATCCCCATCAGGTATAATCTGGTAGAAGAGTAGAAAAGCAACCTGGAGATCTTTATGGGCAGAGAGAAACCTTTGTTAATCAAGACCCTTAAGGAAAATTTACTTCTCTTTGTTTTTATATAGTCTGTATGAACACTTGATACCCATGTGAGTTCATACATGTAACACGTTTCCTACACGATTTTCTTTGTTAAATTCAGCACAATCCCCAGCAATCACTAACATACTGATGGCTAAAATTCCCCTTCATGTAGAGAAGAAAAAAAGGAAAAAAATCAAGAAGCAGGATATGGACAATGGTGTTACTGAACTTTGAGGTTTCAACATTTACACGACTTAATATTCTCCTGCACATCCTTCCTGGAACCTGTGAAAAATGGACCCAGTGATTACATCAGAGGGAGCTTCTCCTTCCCTCACCATTGATTTATTCATTCCTTCTTTCGTTGCCTCTCAGTAATTTGCATTCCTCAATGGTGTTGCTTGATAAACAGCACATCAGCAAACTCATCTGAGTTGGACCGAGCTGTGGGTGGAAAAGCACCAAAAGCTTGCAGCTGATATCAGACGTATGGATGATCAATGTCTCTCATGCCTTTTTTTTATTCTCTTGCCCTCCCCAAGCTGTATCTGCCACATATTTATTTCAATGCAGTGAGACTTGTAGAGGTTGATGGAGACACACTGCATGGCTCTTTAAAAAGAGACTTTTCTGGAGACTTTTAGAAAAGACAGTTCATGGTGATCACTTTGGGTCTCATTTGTGACTGCTGCTGGGAGACCTCATACTGGCCACTTAACTTCTTTGTGCCAAAGTTTGTCATCTGGAAAATAGAGGTAATAATCCTTTTCAGCCATGCAAATGTACTGTGGCTCTCGATTCGTTGTAAAGCCCATTAAGACTCTCCAAGAGGAGCAATAATGAAGTGAGAGATTTTCTCTGTGTGAATAGCAAAGCTTTTGAACAAGGCAATATATGTTCCCTGTCATTTTTGGGACTATAATTAAACATATGGTTAGTCAGAGATGGACAAAGCCAATTCTAGAGAGAGAAAACTCAAAATCAGGTGAGCAATAACCAACCCCTGGGGAACAGGGAGGATGAACATCTGGTCAGGTCTTACTAATTGGGAAAACTGTCCTGCTTCTGCAGCTTGGGACAACTGAAGTGAAGCCATGGAGAAAAAAAATCATCCCTTTTTCAGGCCACTAATCAAACAAGAGATGCTGCTGGAAAGATGGGAAGACGATCACATTTAAGCCTGTTAATGAGCATCAGTATTTGGGGCAAATTGCAGGTTTCTCATCCAACTGCCAATACTGAGGCAATGTTTTGACAGTTGTCTGGGCTGGGACCTTGCTGGGAAGGTCACCTACAATGGAGGCCCGTGGTTAAGAATGGACTTTGTGTCTGGAACTTAACAGGGGGGAGAGCTGGGCTGGGCAATGCCTCCTCCAGCATGGCCCAGCATCTCTGTTGCTCAAGTTGGTGCAAAATGTATCCCCACGTTTCACATGAAGGTCATTTGGATGGTTCAGATAATTGACAGGTAGCTCTCCCAAGTGCTCCTCCTGTTTCTGCCAACAATTCACTGGGTGACCTTGGGAAAATTGCTGAACAAACCTTTTCTTGCAGAGTGAGGTGGCCTAGATCTGAGAGGGGATCATGGGAGACATTCAAGCGTTGTGAGACAGAGACTATTACTAAGCAAAGGAACAGTGACAATGACACAAATTGATGTCAACGTGGGTTTGATCTAGTTCAGCTCTCTTTTTGTAAGATGACAGAGTTATTTGGAAAAAAAAAAATAGAAAAGAACTAAGAGGTCTGAGGAATGGTTAAAAAAGATTGACTAGAACTCAGAGATAAGCTCTTTTCTTTAAGGAAAAGAGAGATGTGAAGAAGATCCAGGAGTAACTATGTGGGAGAAGGTCTGCAGTGAAGAAGTGGAGTACATTTGAAGGGTTGATGGTATCTAATGTGGGCACTTACACAGAGAAAATCAACTGGACTTTCTGTACAGTGAATGGAGATATGGTCAAATATAATAACTGAAGTTCAGGGCACAAATCATCTCATCCTAAGGTAGACCCTTGTATTTAGCCAGGGCAAATTTGCACTAGGAAAGACACTGCCCCAGTCAAGTTTTGCACAAGGGAACTCCTGACCTCCTAGAGGTGGCCCTTAAGACTTTGCTGAAGAAAACTCTTGAAGAAGCAAAGGCTCTTGAACAACCACTATGGCTCTGAATGATTAATAGGCTTAATAGATGACCAAACTGTTTTTTGGTAAGATGAAGGGCTCATCTTCAGTCTTCTGGAAAGTATAAATAGGTCCTTTCAGAAACACTTGGTGGCCCAAGAAATAAAATGGAGTTATAGCAACATATTTGCTTGTTTTTCTTTTAAATGCTCACAATAGTACTGCAACCTTGCAGTCTTTCTGCTTCAAGAGACAGATTCCCTTAGATCATGGCAGTTTGATTCATGGACTGTGAGACCTTCTCAGTATTGCAACCACCTTAGGAGAGGAACACACTTTGTTAGACACCTTCCTCTAGGAGTCTAGATCCCCTCACAGTTAATGGAGAAAAATGGGAACTTCTACTGAATAAAACGTCTCATCCTGATGTCAAAGTGTCAAAAGCAGCTCACATAAATCACATTCTGAAAGTGCTTTTTCTCTCTATTGACTCTGGAAGCGTGCTGTAATGTCTAACTCAGATGTTCATGTCAAATATTTGGTGGGAGGAATCCCACCCACGGAGACAGGCTGCTCTGAAAGCTTTGAGGATGGACCTGCACTGGGGATTGGGATGAGCTTCTTTGATTCTGGTCTGAAACTCCTTGAATGGACTCATCTGACTGCAGGGCTTGGAGGAAAAAAGCTACTGTTGGACACAGAAAATGAAATATAATGAATCTATTTATTGATCTACTGTGACAGGAAGGAAATTGTGCACGGTGGTGAGCAAATTTTGCTGGGAGGATTTGGGAGAGTGGTCTAGGGCAAAAATCAACACCTTCCAGTGTGAGTTTGGCAGTTTGTCTTCTCAGCTGAGCATGTCAACATCAAACCTCTGCCCTAGGCAGGCTGTATAAGTAGAGTACTGACACAGATGGGAAAACTAGTTACTGCTACATCCTCAACTGACATGGGTGCTAGGGTGTTCCTCAGCCACCAGAGATGCTCTGCAAGTCATCAATGTCATGCCACAGGGTTGGTCATCTTGAAACTCTATTACTTGGTCAACTAAGCTTAGGTTTGGTTTTGTTTCTCATAGTGGACATTGTTATCTTTCTAAATCCCATCTGGAAATAACATGGGAGAACTTTGTGGATGGAAATCAGATATTTATATGATGGCCACCAGACTGGGATATTAGAGATGTTTTCATTAGCTGCTGTGGGAACGGGGAAGGTGAGGCAGGGATTCATTGTCCCTATCCCAGTGACTTCCAGGTACAGTTTCCTCCAGTTGAAGAGTCAAAAGCAAATTGTGACTTTGATTTCTGCATTTCCACTGTACTGATGGCTACTGTGCTTGCTGTCTGGCTCAGATGTCCCCTGTCCCATTGTGGGGTTAGGACCCCTCAGACCATAACCATGAGCTGTGTGTCCTGTGGGCATTTTGGGACTAAGTGTCATCACTGAAAGTAGTTGTTCAGTACAGGGAATGCCCAACCCAGAATGAAGCCCAGACAGGTATGTAGCCAGAGCACTGGCACTGATGAGTTTTGTCTCACCACAAGTCCTTTGCTGCTTGGATTTCTTGTCTCTCTGTCAAGGGAGCTTCTTCTATGTGACATTTCAGGTGGTTTTAAGCTGTTCTCTATCCAAGTACTTCATGACCCCTTTAGTTGGGGAGACAAAGAAAACTCTTCATTCATAGAACCATAGAATGTTTTGGGTTGGAAGAGACATTTAAAGCTGATTTAGTCCAACCCCCTTGCAATGAGCAGTGACATCTTCAACGAGATCAGCTCGCTCAGCCTTAGTCAAGGAGATGATGGAGTTCCTCTGTCTTCCTGCTTGTTCAAGTTTCAACGTACTTCTTTCCTGCCTTCCCTCTAGGCTCGTGTGGGAGGGATGGAATTCTCCCCGGGGATGGTCTACATCTCTCCAGACAGCCCTCTGAGCTTGCCAGCTATTGTCAGCATTGCAGTGGCTGGTGGCCTGCTCATCATCTTCATCGTGGCTGTGTTGATTGCCTACAAACGTAAATCCCGAGAAAGCGACCTCACCCTCAAGCGCCTGCAGATGCAGATGGACAACCTGGAGTCCAGGGTGGCCCTGGAGTGCAAAGAAGGTAGGCTGAGGAAGGAAGGTGGATGCTCTGTCAGTGTTGGTAGAAGAGGCATCCAGCCCCAAAGCTTTGAGGCATAGCATGAGGAAAAGGAGCGTTGAACCCTGGGGGTATGGCCCAAGTCTGGATCTAATCTGGGTCCAGCCTTCCTCCACCTTGTCCTAGATGCATTTGCTAGCTTGCAGCCCAGAGGAAACCTTGGCACATGTCTCTGGTGAAAGTCTTAAAGGTGTGACTGCTCTTGTCCACCTCCTTCTTCCTCTTCACATGTTACTTCTCCACTTACACCTCAGTCTCATACGTGTGGGTCTGAGGGCCATCAGACCCATGTCATCATCAGGGTGAGGGAGAGCTGGACTGTCATTGCTTTCTTTTTTTTTGTGTCAGCCTTTGCAGAGCTGCAGACAGACATCCACGAGCTGACCAGCGACCTGGATGGAGCTGGGATCCCTTTCCTCGACTACAGAACCTACACCATGAGGGTGCTTTTCCCTGGCATTGAAGATCATCCAGTCCTGAGGGATCTGGAGGTAGGAAATCAACATCTCCTGCTTCTGGCTCTTCTCATTCCTCCCTGTTCTGTCCCGAATTCAAGAGGTGCCAGTGGTGGGGACAAGACGGCTCATAAGGCTGTGTCCTACCAGGGGTGAAGCAGCACCTCATTAAACCTCCAAGTTGAAAGGGAGAGATGATTGCTACTTGCTTAGATGTTAAATTCTGTTTGATCACTCTTGTGTTCGGATGGGTCTCATCAATCTCTGGGCATTAGTTGTATTGTATTAAGCTTCTCCTTGGTCTTTGTCCTGCTGGAGTTTGTTTTTTAGGCTGGATTGATTATTTCCTGCCATGCAGGGGCCAGGAAAATAAAAGTTGTATGGCAGAGCAGCACACTTGAGTGTCACTCCAGCTTCCCATGATGCTCCCACTACCTAGAGACCATTTTTTTTTTGGTGACAGTATCTATAGAAATAACCTGAAGTCACTGAAGGAGGTTCCCCTTTGCTGCACTCTGTGGTTTGCACTGGGGTCAGAAGACAACAGGATCAGTCTGCCCATACCCTGCCCACATCTCCCTCCTCCACCCCAACTCTCCAGACCAGACCCCAGTGGTGGGAGGGCAGCGAGATGTTCCCCAGCACTGTTGGGGTCTACACACAACCTGCATTACCTCACTGGCAACCACGAGTGTGATGGGACTCTGAGTGAGGTCTGCCCATGCTGAGAAACTGCTGCAGGCTTTGGCAGATGGACAGGCTCTGCTCCAGGGATACCTGGGCCAGAGGAACAGGGGATACACCATGGCCAAGGCCAGGGAGGTCCTTGGCTGAGCTTTCAGCGAAGTCTTTGGCAAGCTCTGGGCTTCAGAGAGGCTCTGGCATGGGCTGGTGAGATTGCTGGAGGCCAAGACTGGGGTTAGTTGGCAGAAAGGAGGAGCAGGAGCTGGCACAGGCAATACTATGCTTGGCTGACTGAGTAATCAGAGGTGCCTGCTTGTCTTTGCTCCTTCCCTTCAGGAGAGCCAAAATCCATCAAATTTGATGGAGACAGCCATTATAAAACCTGATCTGCCAGCAAGGAGGACTTGTGGGTTTGGTAGGAGCCTGAGTTACACATTCCCACCATATGTGGGTGCCTTTGGGGTGCAGGTAGAGTGGCCTCGAGCTGCTCTATCTCCAGAAGAAGCATCTCCAGCATCTCCAAAAGACAAGCCCAAGAGATGAGGGATGATGAATCCCTCTCACATACGTATGCACACACACACACAAACACTTTCATGGCACCCACAGCCAGTTTCAAACCTTAGATTCATTCCCCTCAGCCAGCTGACCACAGAATAGCATCTTACCCTGTTGAGGTGTTCACATGGATGCTGCCATGTGTAGCTACGTGCAGAGAGACAGAGTTAATGTTTCCATCTGCTACCTTTGATCTCTTCTTCCTTTCATTTCATTCTTTTTTTTTCCCCCCTAATCCTCTGTAAAGCTTCATCTGCTCTCTCAGTATCAACATCTTTGGCTCCCAGCATATCAAGGAAGGCAGCTCCCATTCTGCTCCCTTCTCTGTAGCACCTACAAGGAGTTGTTGCTACTTATGGCAAACGGCCCCAGCCTAGATCCTGCAGTGAGCAGATCTCACTTATTTCCAGTTCATTTGCTAATTAACTGCTTCCAGATGCAGTACAAAAGACTTGTCTTGTTATTTTTTCAATTCTCCAAAATAACCCGGGGATAGACAATATTAAATGTTCAAGCAAGTGAGTTAAAAATAATTATTGGCAGGATGGGTGGTACCGGTTGGTTGGTTGGAGGGATGTCTCAAGCTATTTACTAAGTAATTTATATGCTGTATGTAAAAAGAGTTGAGAGCTTTAATTTCCAGATTGAGAAGTAATGATTCTTTAAGGGGCCTTGCATTGCTCGGTCGTTTACACATACCAGATGATTTTGGAATAAAGTGCAAAATCTGGTTGGTTACATGCCTCAGTGACTTGGGTTGCTCTGTGTTGAGATCCTCCACCTTCCAGGGAACCTTTTTCAAGGGCTGTGATAACTTCAGCAACATGAGAACTGGGTTTGAGGTTCTCTGATTAAGCTCTGTTCTCATCTAAAGCCAGAAGGAATGGAAAGGGTGGAACCCACTGTAGACTGTGGAGTTCAGGGTGCAGTGTTGAGGTCCTAAATTGTCCTACATAAAAGCTAGTTTCACCAGCTTCTCATCAACCTTCCTATCTCCAAACCATCTCACCTCCCAAGCCCAGGGGTCCTACTACAGTGCGACCTCCAAAACTTGTCGCAGCTCAGGGTGTCCTCTCACACTTTCATCTACCAAGCCCTTCAACTCAAGGCCCAGCTGCATGATCACCATCTCTGCCACTGTCTCACTACATATCTTCATCTCCTCAAAACCTGACCTCAGGCTCACTTCCCCCTTCACCTTCTTTCTGCCTCTCCCAGCTTCTTAAAGTTGAACCCCAAACCTCTGTAAGTAGTTTTTTTGCAGGAATGGAAGAAGTTTTGGGTTAAGATAGAGTGAAAATATAACAATGGATGGTACCACACCTAGGCACTAGCAATCTCTTTTTGATGTGCTGTTCAGAGAGGGAAACAGAAGACTGCAAGGGAATCATCTGGCTGTGGCTAGGAGGTCTCTCAGGCTTCCCAGTCACTGGATGACATATGGACTCTCTTCCTGGATATGGGATTATCCTGTGATGCACAAAGAAGGACTCACAACTGACATGGGTGCTAGATTGTTCCTCGGCCACCAAAGGTGTTCTACAAGTCATCAATGTCAATGTTACTTGATGTCAAAGTGTATAGTTGGAGGAGCTGGAGGGATGAGGACAGAGAGGTAGCAAAGGGGGTGTGACACATTTTCGGGAGGTCTGACAGCAGGTAGGGAGGGGAAAGCCTAAACTCCCTTTCTTCTCGTGCAGGTCCCTGGCTATAGGCAGGAACGGGTGGAGAAAGGCCTGAAGCTCTTTGCACAGCTCATCAACAACAAGGTCTTCCTGCTGTCCTTCATCCGCACGTTGGAGTCCCAGCGCAGCTTCTCCATGAGGGACCGTGGCAACGTGGCCTCGCTGATCATGACAGTGCTGCAGAGCAAGCTGGAGTATGCCACTGATGTCCTCAAGCAGCTCCTGGCTGATCTCATCGACAAAAACCTGGAGAGCAAGAACCACCCCAAGCTGCTGCTCCGGAGGTAAGGCTGCCTGGGGCTGGAGGGGGCTGAGGTGGGCACCCTGTGCCCCACTGTTGGCATGGTGGTCATCTTGGGAGGAAAGGGGCAGATCTGCTTGGTTTTGGTTTGTGCAGCAGGGGATGAGATCAGGAGGACATCCAGCCATGGTTCATGTGACTCAGGAAGCCCTCCAGGCAAACAGGGCTGAATGAAGGCTGAATCACTCTCCCTTCCTGGTTTCCTGATCATTTAAGACTTCCTGATGAAGCTTGCCTCTTCTTAGAAGACTTTTCTTTTCCTCCCAGCATCCTTTCTGCATTTTCTTCCCTTCCAACAAGCAGTGGCTGTAGATCTTGCTCCATCTCCTCCTTAACCAAAAGGCAGCCCATGATTACAAGTTACAGAACTCAGCTACCTCTGCATTTTCATGTGGATCTTCCAGAAAGCTTCATAAAGGCAGCAAGAGCTTATGCTTCCTGGTCCTTATTTTGGACTCTGTGTGCTTAAGATGTTCATGTTATGCTTATGTTTCCTTTGGACCTGGAAACACCAGCTGCATCGTGTAGGAGCTATAAGAAAGTCCCATGGAACAGGCTGTATTGTATCCCTGGGAAGTCAGTCAGCTGCTGCTGTCTCCTGCCTAGGACATGGACTGCTCTGGTGCCTTGGGAAGGGAAGAGATCTGTGGTGCCTGCTGGGAGGTTCTTTATCTGGCATACTTCTATGGTGAACCAGCAAAAAAGGGAGCAGAAGAGACTTCCAGGGCAGCAACAGAGTCTGGATTTGGCTTTGGTGACTCCCTGATGTAGTTCAAACCCTACAGCCTGGCCAGTGGCCTCCCTCCAGCTGTCCCCAGGCTTCCTCCCTATGCTTCTCCTCTGATGTTGGAGGGCACTGCCTCCTTCCAACCATCTCTTCCCTTCATTTTCTCCTTTTTGTTCCCCTTTCTCCATCTCTTTATCTTGTTGAATGCCCTGAGCATCCCATCTTTCCCCTTTCTCCTTCTTCCAGCTGTTTTCTAAGTCTAGTCATCTTTGTTGGAAATGACATGTGGCCTCTGGAAGGAAAGACAGTGACCAAAGAAAGCACCTCCACTGTTCCAAACTCTGAAAACACAAGGAGAAGTCAGGGAAGTGTTTTGTGCTCTGAGATGGAGGCCCTGCACTGAGCAGCACCACAACAGAGTCTCCTCCTGAACATGTGAATAGCTCGGTGCCTCGGGTCAGAGGTTGGTGTGAGGTCCTCAGACAAGTATTTGCAGCAGCTGGCTTCAACTTGATGCTTCCTCTCCCTCCCTGTTAGTCTCTGGATGGAAGGGAATCCTCCAAAACCTTTCTGCAGTGTTGGTGTCAGGGGGATTCAGCAGCAGGAAGGAGCTGGCTGGAATGATTTTCCCATGTCACCTCTGTCCAGCGTTCATCCCACATGACATCAACGGCCCCAAAGAGATCAAAGTTGTCAGGGCAAAGAACAAAATGAGATTTCAGGGTTTTTTTTTTCTCACAGTAATGCTAGGTTTGCACCAGGTAATGGGTCCCAGATGTCATCCCAGGGAGTGCTGGAAAGAGCACTCTTTGGGTGACATTCCCTGCCAGGAGCTCCCACCATGGCCATTGCTGGAACTGGATGTCATACCTTGGCCAATGGAGGACAGCAGCTAGGTGACACTGACCAAGGGGATTACAGATCAAATAGGCTGATTTGTACAGAGTCTCTAGGCAAAGCAAACAGCATTAATCTGGTTTCAAACTGGGACTGTATCTCCTCTTTCTCTGGTTGCAGGCAAGAAAAGGGGAGTAAGAGAAAACACCCCAACCTCCGATTATCCCCCCACCATCTAAGTGAGGTTTGCTGAGAAGAACAGAGAAATCCCTATGGAAACCAGGCTAAAGATCAAGTGCCTTTAGCTAGGAAAGGGACCATCCCTTGGTCTGTGTGGGAGGAACAGGGCACAAGTTTCAGGCAAGGCTTTTGGGTGGTTCCACCCCTACAGCTCCAGCGATGCAAACCCTTCCTCTTGCAGGGCTCATGCTCCAGAGGAAGCAAGACCAACTTCATGCTGAAGGACTAAAGGCAAGCTGTAGTCCTAAACAAGACCTCCTGCATGGCTGTGGTGGCAGCCAGGACAAGGAAGACCCACTTTAATCCATGCAGGCAGGGACTTTTGTATTCTTCTTGAGCACCACCACTGCATGTACTGGAGCCAACAGAGTCTCCTGGTGTCCACACCACATTTGAAAGTCTGAGTGGGTCCTTTTGTAGGAAAAGTTCACCCTGAAGACTCCAGATGGACTTTTGTTTGGTTGAGGACATTGTTCAAGAGCAAAAGGATGTGAATGTGTCACGTTGACACTTTGAAGAGTATGATCACTCCCAAGTGCCAGGGAGATAATGAGTGCCAGATAACTATTCTCTGGTGATTTAGAACTACAGTATTTACTCAGCCTACTTGTCATATGTCTGAACTCTGAGCTTCACACATTTGATAGATTTCTTCTCCCTGAGCTGCTCTGAGAAGGTTCCCTCAAACGTTGTCATCTCTCTTTCATGGATGAAGAAACTGTGAAACAGGCACTTCCCTTGTCAGAAGAGAATGAACAGGGCAGTAGGGATTTGCCTGCAGGTTTCCTAAATCCAAAGCTAAAACAGAGAACCTAGGACGTGCTTAATCATGATGGTGTTACACCAGATCTTCCATGAAACTCAGAGATCTGAGCAGCAAGATGGACAAAGTCAATCTTTGGGCTGGTCCTTTGATATGACCAGCATGACTAACTCATTTCCCATCTGCTTTTTTCTCCCTGGCTGATTTTAGGACAGAGTCTGTGGCTGAGAAGATGCTCACCAACTGGTTCACCTTCCTTCTGTACAAGTTCCTGAAGGTAGGAGGAGCAGCAGGCCTGGATGAAAAGCTGATTTAATAAGTTTCTTCCTGATGGGGTTTAGCTGGGGAAAAAAACTTCCTAGATATAGAGGAAAAGGGGTTTTTTTCTCTAGAGGGAGCTCATTACCTCATGGGAGAGGGGCTGTTTTTTGATCTAGGGAGAGCAAAGAGGGACTCTGTTAGGGAGGCAGCCTGTTGGCCTTGCTCCTGGACAGAGGTGGGATCTAAAATAAAGGTCAGTGCTGAAACATGAAGGATTTCAGAACCTGGTGGAGACCTATATTGAAATTTCTCTCCTTTCCCTAGCAGACTCAAATCTCCATCACGTGCTGACCCTTATTTCCAGTGCCTGGTGGTGGGAGATCTCCTCCCAGCCCAGTTCAGGGCTCAGTGCTCCATCATCCCCAGTGCCTGATGATGATGGGTTTTTACACACACTGATACCACACCCCTGCTAAGTTGAATTTGAGCCCAAGCACAAGCTCTTCTTGGCCTTAGGCTGGCTGAAGCATGGCCAGGCATGCTCTGGGGACACAGACCTGGACACAACACACTAGGCAAACCTGACTGCTGCCTCCAGAACCCAACAGGAGCTGAGGCTGCTGCTGTTTTGTATCCCATTGGCTTTGCAGGTCACTCATCAGCAAAAGTGAATGGACTTGAGACACCTCCTGAGCCCTCTTGTTCCTCCTGGAGGGTCTCCTTAGGCTGGTGTGTATTAAAATAAATTAAAAAAATAAATCTCTCAGCCTGTGGGACCTGCCACTGACTGCTGGGTGGTGGCAGTTTCTTCTTGGAGACCCATGGTGACACTCAAGCATGGTGATTGCCAAGGCACCAAACTCAGAGCCAGTCTTTTTGGAAGGACCTGGGCTCCACGCATCTCCTCCACTCCTAATCCAGTTCCTAAATATCCTTACAGCCCCTTTTGGACAGAATAGCCACCCTCTGCCTGGCAGTTGAAAGCTTTACAAATCAATTCCTTTCCCCAGAGCCTCCCCCAGGTACAACCAGCCCAAGGATGAACACATGGGAAAGTTTTGAAGGTCCCTGGAAGGTAATTTCAGTGACTTCAGTATCAGATTCCTGCTTTCAGCTGAAAGGAAAGGATATAAGGAGGTGACTCTCTAAAGAGCTGCTTTTATAATAGGCTTTTTTCACCCCACTCAGCTACTTGTCTCCTTGCCTTAGCCTGAGCAGAGGCCTGATAAGGGCAGGAGACAGGCACACAGAAGCAATATGCTGCAGGCAGATAAGCTAATGAAGTGGGAGACAGGTGTAGGGACTCCAAAAGGGGCCACTTTGCTGCAGATTATTCACTTGTTTTTGCTGGGATTTACACCAGAGGAAAATGACCTCGCTCCTTGAGTTGGGGCACGTTGCAAGAGGAGAGGGCAAGGTGGGGAGGAAGGGAGGAAGGATGGGGAGGAGGTGGAGGGGAAGGGTGGCAATAGAAGAAGGCAGGAGGAGGAGCGTGTGGCAGCGACTGCAGAGGAAGGGCAGCAAGGGAAGAGGAGGTAGGAAAAACGTGGGAAGAGGAGTGGGAAAGGAGGAAAAGGGTGGGAAGGGGAAATTAGGAAGAGGTGTGTTTTGCTGGTCCTACCTGTGGGCTGCTTGTTGCTGTGCTGGGCCCCACACATCTGACATCATCAATGCAACCGTGCAGATCCTTGGGCACATCTCCCCCTGATCATGGAGCTGCTCCTGCTCCTGTTTACCTTCAGCATGAGTACTCAAGGAGATTGGCCTCTGCCCAGACACCCAGGATGGGGCACCAGCAGTCCACCTCCCTTCCAGACCTATCTCTGTGTCTCCAGTGCAAAGCTCTGACCTGGTGGCAAGCACTTCAACAGCTCCTACAAGGCTCTGCTAGCCCAACCATTGCTAGGGAGCACCAACAACTTTGTGCCAAGACAAGATGCTTGAAAGGGTTGGTTGCACCCTGTGGAACTTGGGGGTCACCTCTGTTCCCAGGCTGTATGGAATAGACTTAATTCCCACTGATGCCTCTCTCTTGAGAGGTTGGGGATGGCAAGAGATGCTACAGAGGTTGGGTTCTCCCCTCTGCTCCTCCTGATTCACCTCACACTCGTCTCTCACCCCTGCAGGAGTGTGCTGGTGAACCTCTGTTCTCCCTTTTCTGTGCCATCAAGCAGCAGATGGAAAAGGGTCCCATCGACTCCATCACTGGGGAGGCCCGATACTCACTGAGTGAGGACAAGCTTATCCGCCAGCAGATTGACTACAAGACACTGGTGAGTGCCCTGAGAACACCTTCCTATGGGCTTGTCCAGCCTCTTCCAGCAAGAGGGGATTTAGAGAAAAACCAGAGAAACCCTGCTGAAGACTGACTAGTCCTTCCCCCTAACCCAGGGAGGTTTCTGGCTGAAGCATCTTCTTGCAAAGCATGGTTGCAAAGGTGGTTGCTTCCAGGTTACTTCCATTGTGCCCTGCCCCATGCCCAGAGCATCTCCAGCTCCCCAAAGGCTTTGCCTGTCCTCTGAAAGCTTCTGCACTCTTTGCAGGGTAGGCTGACAGTGCCAATCCTTTACCTTTGCTTTGATTAGGTGAGGTCTGAGAGCGTTGGAAGACAAGCATGAACCTTGGGTCATGGACATGTCTGTGAACGTGCAGACAACAGATACAGGCAATTTACTTAGTTCTGTTAGACAAAACACTTCCTAGTATCTCCTCCCCCTTTGCTCTGGAGATTCCCACCCTTCCAACATCCCTCTGAGTCGGAGTCAAAGGTAACAGTCTTCCCACAGCAGAAAGGTGGGGCTGTCACCAAGTTGTCACCACCCTGAGCTCTTACCTGGAAGGAGTGTGATGTTCATGGTGAGGTTTCTTCCTCCACACTCTTGGGACCAGTTGGGAGTATTCCAATCCCTCCTCTCCCCATCACCTCCTCCCCTCCCCCTGGTCCCCAGCACCAGTGGCAGAGCTGCCCAGCACCCAGCCTGGCCACACCAAGGGCTGGTGTTTGCTGGGCAGTGCCTGTGGGGCAGCAGCTCTTGGCCATGTGGGGTGTCCCCAGTGATGAGCTCAGACAGATCAGGCAAGAGGCTTTTGGTCATGGGACACTTGTGATCACAGGGACACCCAGCCTGGGGCACGACAAGCCTGGAAACGTCCTGAGACCCTGCAGTGTTGGGTCAGTGCAAAGCCCATGGTGTCCTGCAAGTGACAGCAAAGAGGTTTTATGAAGCTATATTGCAAAGATACTTCTCTAGAATAATCTTCACCCCCCCAAAAAATATAAATCTATTTCTCCAATTAAGATTTCAGCATCAGGGAGTACTTAGAGATACACAGTGGAGGGACCTGTCAGGTCTTCTCTAGAGCTAATGCAGCCATTCCTTTTGAGCAAGCACAAGGCAAAGAAAAGTGAATTTGATTTAAAGATTTCAAGGGAAAGAAAATTAATCCCTGTTACCAAGTCATTTGCTTCAAAATGTAATTGTCTGCATGATGAAAGATCTACATTGCTTATGTCCAGCTTTAGCTTCTGCTCTGAGATTACACTTTCCCTGCTTGATTAAAGAGCATCAGTTAAAGAGCATTAGATATCTCTTCTTAGTGTGTTTGTGGCCCTTCCCTTTTTCCTGGAAACACTAAATCCACTGAGCTTCTATATCTCTGTGGGATGCAGAACACTTCTCAAGTCTTCAATGATCCCTGTAATTCCTTTATTTCCCATGTCTTTCTTCTCAGAAAACACCAACCACAAATTTTAGGATGGTCAAAAGCTGCTCTAAACTTAACCAGATTATTTCATTTGCAGCTTCAATTGAGGGACGTTCATCTCAACTTTACCTTCTTGGAGAGCTGTGTCCAGTCAATGTTGGTTTCTTGACCAATATTGGTTGGGCTGACACTAGAAATGCCTGCTGGCCTTCAAGAACTCCAGGCATTCTACTGCTGAGCTTTGATTCAATCCAAGTCTGATGAGGGGATAGACTTTATTCTTAAACAAGACCACGATTTCATTTTGCATTTTAAAAACCCATGACTTTTCTGTGAAATCCTCAGGGTTGGGTTTCTCTTCTGTTCCCTGTGGTTGGCTAGCAGTTTAGAGCCCTGATCTCACACGGAGCAAAAGGAAGGAAAAAGGCAGACACAGAGAGATCACTTTCACCAAAGGAAATCCCCCCCGATCCTTTTAGGCTTGATCTAAAGCAGCCAGCAAAGGGGAGTAATTACACATCAGCCTGAACAAAGCTCTCCTCCAGTTGCCTCATGTCGTTTGATGTTAATCAGCTCTCCCTCTTACATCTCAAGAGCAGACAAACATATCCCGATAGGAATCTCAGCAGATTTGCAGAGATCAGCTTGGGTGGAGGAGATTAAGCAGCAGCAGAGTAAGAATAAGACGTTTCCTCGTTTCTGTTTATTTCTGGTTTATTTTGTCCTTCCTTAACCAATCTGTCATCTTTTATTACGACTCTCTAGTCACGAAACGAAGCAAGAACTAATTCAATATTTGTAATTCCCTCAGTGTCTCCTGCTCTCTACCAACTGCACCTGGTCACCACTGTGAGTTTCTAACGCGTGTGGCTCAAGTTTATTGGGTCATTCATGTTTCACTGAGTTAAATCATCATTCTAGCAGCGTGGAAAAACCTTGTTCAGAATGTTCAAAACCACTGAAACGGGCTGTTTATTGTCATTATTCCAGGAAGACAATGCCTTTTGGAAGGCATTTCTTCTTCAGCCTTTATTAATCACAACCAGATATTTGAAGTCGTGGTTTCAAATATGGTTTGAGTGAAAAGCAGATCCAAAGAATTTGACCTTACTCAGGGAGAAAAAAGGAAACAGAGGATTTTCAGACATCCGGAATTCCTGACCTTGCAATACACACCTCATTCACTAAATCCAGATAGTTTCAGTCTGATTTCTTTCCCAACCAGGTAGCTCAAATTTGCTGTCTGCCAGGTTCTGCATTTCCCCAAGGAAGCAGCCTCAACCTCTTGGGGTCTGGTAGTCTATAAAAATTTCTGTACTTACAAGGGATTTTTCAGTACAGTGGAAACTAAGCCAGTTGCAGATGTGATTTGGTAGAATAAATGTATTTCAGCTAAGCAGTAGGTCTTCTCCCAAGCTGTATACCTTAGAGAAACACCTTCTTGAGTTCATGCCTTCGCTAGCAGCCGGTGCCCATCATCTCTGATCTGCAGTGTTATAAAAAAAAACAGCTAGATTATTCCTCCTATGAGACACAGAAGACCTCATCCCTACTGACTGCCAAGATGCCTTTGCCAGAATCCACAATTTGTTTAACCATTCACCAAACCAGAGGCCAGATGTCAAAACCTCTCTCCCTACTGTCAACTGCTCCGTGGTCACTGGGAGCTCAACAACCACCCGTCCTCTGTGTCAGCCTCGTTTCTGTTGATGAAAATAATGCAGGGGAGCAAAGACCTCGAGGTGTGTTGGCATCTGTCAAGAAATATTGACTAATTAATGCTTGGGGGTGTTAGGGAGGAGCTGCTCAGCACCTCTTGAGCAGTGGCATGCTCTGTGTGGTCCCTGCACACCTTGGTGGCTCCAGTGCTGAGAGCCTCATTGGGTCATCTCTCCTGACAATATATTCCAGATGGATAAAGATACTTCCAGCTGTCTTTGGCTATGGCTTTTCAAGGAATTTTGGAGGCAGGGAGAAAGCTACTAGTAAGATATCAGAAGATTCTCCTGTGCTTGGCTTTTTTGGGTGGCCTTCTCCTCCAGCCTTGCTGCGTGCTAGCCCCCTTGAACCTTCTTTAGCCCAGTCTAGAAGGAATAAAATGTCTTTTCATGGGACAGAAGCTCTAGTGATATGCTGTCTTGGGGCAGAACACTGCAGAGAACTCAAGGCCAGGGTGTCCATAAGAGTAATCACAACATGTGCCTTTATTATTTAAATACAATAATCTGCTGTTGAGAGCAGGGTTTGGCTGTGCCAAGCATTGCATGTGGATGTACACTTAGAGACAGCTCATGGCTGGAAGGGCTGGTAGACAAAAAAAAAAAGGCCAAGGATGTAGAAAAAGGTCAGTAAACACAAATCCAGGGAGATGACAAGCCCCAAGGGCATCTGGGGAGAGCAGAGCCCAGAGGTTACTGCTTTCACACATACCTTTTCGTGGTGACAATGTGGAGATGTGGCACTTTAGGAACGTGGTTTAGTGGTGACCTGGTAGTGCTGGGTCATCCACCTTGCTAATTCTGCCTCACAGGGCTCAAAGGCAAGTGGTGGGTGATGCAGTGGATGCATTAAGGAGATCAGCATTGCTGATCTTCCCTCAGAGTGACTAATGTACAAGTATGATACAGACCATCTCGGGGGTCCCTTACCCAGCAGGTGACATCAAAGATTATGTTGAGATAATTAAGCAGCACTACAGGAGCAATGGAATTGGTTCTCTGCTTTACATTGGTTGTTATGAGGACAGTCATCCTTTCCTGACCATTCCTGGTCATCCCCCACCATGGAAATCCTTCCCAAAGGAAGTCCTTTGGGAGGATTCCCACGGAAGTGGTAAGACTCTCTCTCTCCATTGCAATCCCTTCATTATGACTGGGAGCTTCAGTCTGTTGGAAGGGGAGCAAAGATTTTTCAGTCTGTGGTGTAAGGATGACTTCTATAGGGCCCATGACAACCTCCAAAGAGCAGCCATTTAGTGTATACAATACACGGGTGCACCTGCAAAATTCCTGAAGTCTTTGCACAGAGAAAAGTTTAGTGCACCACAAAAGAGCAGTTAGAAAACACCAGCTCAGAGCTGATGTGAAGCCTGGGGCCTATATGTCAAAGCCACTGTGCTCTAGGAAATGTCTTGGCTTCTATGAGCAATGATTGAATTCCCTAAAACGTTGAAAGGAGCCTCTTGACTATCGTTGAAAGGAACACACTGGAGTTTGGGGGTTTACAGGTACTACCAGCTGCCCATCTGTGCTTGACACCACTAAGAGCAAGCTTCTGCTCTGCACAACCCCTTGAGATATTCCTTTCCCTGCTCCTTCTTCCAACTGAGCTGTAAAAGAGGAAAGCAAGGATTGCTGTAGGCAGGACATGAATAGTTGTGGTTCACTCAGGCAGAGTTTTTCTGCCACCTTCCAAATTTGGCACTCCATGAGATTCAAGGACAACCAAGTTATAAGAGCAACAGCTCTTTGCACCTCAGCTGAGCTCGGGCCACTGTGAGAGACATGCAGAGTAACCTGGTCTCCAGAACCACGTGTCACCTCCATGGCACTCTCAAAAGAGCTGTCCCAGCCTGCCATCCTGCTTCATTTCCCTGCAGACGTGTAATGGGAGGAAGGCAACTAATAACCTCAACACTGGGTGCATTTCAGCAGGGCTTTTTATGCAAAGTTCTGTGATCCTTTGAGATGAAAGATGCCACAGAACTGTAAATCTGTGCCATTGTTGCTATTATCTGAATTGATGCTTCTTCAGTCCTCCTGGAGGTGACATATAAATAATAGCATTATGAACTAATCAATATCTCATATTTACATCTCCCCTTTCATCCAGAAAGATCACAGAGCTCTTTGTAGGCAGTATCTTCACAAGTCCCTCTTAGTTGAACATAACAGCACCAAAGGGAGCCTGGTGAGCCAATATATAATTATACTGATATGATTTCACCCAGTTTCCAGCTACTTTGAGGTCCCACTGCATCTTAAGATGGGAAGTGATAGAGAGTCCATTACCTACTGCATACTACAGAAGGCAATTTACAGTCAAGGTAGAATTTGTCTAAGGTGCCAAAGTTAACAAGTCTGCACAAGGTGGCACAGAAACATTTTGTGACTCTACACAGCCAAGAGCATCACTGAAAACACCTTCCAAGTGCAAAGTCTATGAAAGTTTATAGACTTCACACTCCTGTAACCAGAAGAGAGCAGAATGTTCACCATGGACATGGCCAAGGGTTAGCAAATAGGTTGATGTTCAGCTCTGTGTGTATGTCTTTAAGGTATCCTTCCCCACCCCACGTGCTTTACATTTGCTCTTGGACAGAGTCTTCAGAGAAAGTTGCATTCTCCTGAGAAATGAGGTGCCTCTCTAGTGAGAACACACAGAGTCAGTCCCGTGGCTGTGCAGAGGATGGACAAACTTAAGGCTGAGAGATGGAAGAGCACTTTTACCTGGATTGTCCAACCCGGGTGGCAATGCAAGGAGGCCACCTACTGAATTAGGTCATCTTGCCAGCTCTCTAGGGAGCGTGGAATGGGTCAGAGGCCAGGGAGAGCTCTGGAGAGCCCTTTGGATATCAGTTCAGCTCCAAACAAAGCCAAGCCTGATTGCATTTTTAATGATTTCTAGGAAACCATTGTCTGATACCATTCAAGTGAAATCCAATTTTACTGGAAGCACCAGAGCCTGAGCTGATATTCATGGACTTTATGTTATTACATACAGTGAAGAAGCCAAGGAGATGAGGTTCAACCTAAGGGGCTGTACACACAGGTATAATAGTTCCACAGGGCATGGATGCATGGAATCCCCTTGGGTGAAACCAGATCCGTGTGTCCTCCTGAAGGAGGGAACACTCTTGGTCCACATTTTCCCCTTTATTGCACCCTAGATCCCTCAGGCTTGTAGGATACAAGGACCTGCAAGAAGGGCAACCATAGGATACATGTGTGAAATGTGTGGTGGGTCTCACTGCTTCCCTCCCAGGTCCTGAGCTGCGTGAACCCCGACAACGTGAACAGCCCCGAGATCCCCGTGAAGATCCTGAACTGTGACACCATCACTCAGGTCAAGGAGAAGATCCTCGATGCCATCTTCAAGAACGTGCCCTGCTCCCATCGTCCCAAAGCTGCTGATATGGACTTGGGTATGTGAGTGCCCAACGGGCCCTGGTTGCCCCTGGGAAGGGGTGAGAGGGGAGTTGGAGACTTAAACTCAATCCAGAGTGTTGGCTGGGGTAGGTGCCACCTCCCCAGGCTGAGAACACCCTTGATCCTTGAGCTCAGCAGTGATGAAGGGGCAGAACAGACTGATTAAATTGAGGGGTATGCTCCTGATTTATGAAATCTGTGACCCTGAGGACTTAAAAAGACCAGAATACAGCTTGGACAAGGGTATGGAGAAGGCACGACTGGGGCTGTTCTCACTGTCCTGCCACAGACTCCTGGAAAAAGGGCACTGAGTGCTCAGGGTGATGTTGTGAGCAGTGCAGAGATTTAGTCCAAGGTCTTTCTCAGCCCTGACTGCTCCTTTCTCCTGCCATCACCCCACCACCAGCTGCAGGGCTGGGAGCTGCTGCTCTGAGCCTTCTTTTCTGCAGAAGATGAAGAGGTCTTCAGGAAAAATTAATCCTTCTGTTTATGAATTCATGCTTTTTTTCCTCAGTGGTTTGCTCCTTTGTGCATTGCTCTGCTCACAGGGTGCAGAGAGCAGCACCAGCTTCTCTTGCACCTCTAGGCAGTTGTGCTGTTGAGCCCTGGTCAAGGATGCTGTTGATCCTTGCTCAAGGATGCTGGGAGGAGTGAGATAGCTGAAGTTGGGGTATAGAAGCAGACATGATATTAAACCTGGAAGCTGCTATGAAAGAATATAGAAAAATCATCTCAGGGTATTGCTGAGGTGTCTGGCAGGGAGCTGGGGACTGCATCATGGCTCTCTCTGTCAGGGTTTGCCTGCAGTGACCTTCTGTGAAAGAGACTTGAGTGGAAAAATGATGGAGTCTATAAAACCCAGCAAAGCAGAGGAGGAACCAAAAGGTGGAGGGATGGATCGACGCCAAGAAACAATTCACAGCAATAATGGGGGCAGGAATGAGAGTTTGGGGATTAAAGTGAAGTGTATCTGTGTGCGTGTGTGCAGGGGAGGAGGGGACCCCTGACAGAAATTCCAGTAAGATTCCTGCTCATGAAAGGCAGTTAGAATAACAAAACAAGCTGCCAAAACCAGCAGCAGTAAAGCACAGAGCTTATATATCATCAAGAAAGGACCCAAGATGATTCTGGAGCTTCTGTGAGTCAGCAAGAGGAATGGTGAGTGCTGGGGGAGTGAGGACGAGGGCAGACAGCTCAGGGTGCCAGAGCACAGCAGACCAGAGGAGCAGGGATTCCAGCCACATCTTTTGACCTGTCCAGTGCTGGGTGGTGGCCACAGAGCCTGTTAAATTCAGATCTCAGGCTGAGCGTGAGCAGAAAGTGTTCTGTGGTGGGGCTGAATGATGCATCCAGAATGGGAGGCAATAATTTCACCTGCATGGTGCAAATAACCAGGAGCAAACTGGAGTCCACAGATTTTACTGGAGCTCTGATAACTAGCAGACACAGAAGTCTGTGTGTGGGATCCCAGCTCGAGCCTGACAATTTTGCATCCAGGACTTGGGATATATTAAATCTGAATTATTATATTCAAATATAACATAATTCGATTCAAATATGAATTATATTATTATTTGAAGAAATATTGACCAGCTGAGTGCAGCTGAAGACCAACAAGTTCCAGGAGAGTAATTATGAGTGTGTGCATCCCTCAAAGGACAGACTTGTCCATCCTGGCAGGAGACTGCTTAATGAGCAGCTCATCATCAGTGAGCATTGATGATGCTGTTGGGAAAACAAAACAAAACAAAACACACAAAAAAACCCCTCATTTAGCAGAAAAGTCTTGCCAGTAGTGATAGAGTTTCAGATTCCTTTAGCACAGCAGCTAACGAGGTGGGAGGAGCAGGAGGGAAGCAAGAAGAAGAGGATCTGCACGTCCAGCCCCAGCTCCAGCCCAGCCTCTTTGCAGGAAAAAGATATTTGTTGGCACCTGGCATCCCCTGGTGCCAGAGAAGGCAGCAAAAGGAGAGCAGAAAGCACTGCTGGCCTTCAGGAAGCAGCAGAGAGCTCTCAGGATCAACCTGCCCCAGGCTGGATGCTCAGAACTGCAAAGATGCCAGTCCATGCTGAACAGGAGGTCAGAGCAGCTGACTGTGGCCTGGCTTTGAAATTCATGGTTTTATAAAGAGCAACACTCTTTTCTGTTACCCTCACCATTTTTTTCCAGACTTTCTGTCCATGCTAAGGCCAGATTGCTCAGTGGGAAGAAAGCAAACAAGCTAATGAGTTGTTTTGAGTTGTTAAATGCAGGGTAGCTGCAGGCAGAGTGACTTGTATGTGTCGGGAATGTCATAATGTTTTGCAGTTACCCAGACAACTCATGGAGGGGGCTGTCAGCTGAAAGCACTTATTTTGGACACCCTGAGGTTACATTTTAGTCCAAAACCCCAAATTGCAGCCCTCTGAGTAAAGGTTTCTTTCTACAGAGGCTATTCTTTATTCTTATTATTTTTTGAAAGCCCTCGCCATAAATAAAATACCCCCTCTTTGGGAAAGCAGCAGGGTGAGGATCAAAAACCAGGAATTTGGCTTCCTGCTGAGGCATTCACTCTTCCCTGTGTTGCAGCTGCTTTTTAAAAGGGACTGCTGAGGTGATGGGAGCTACCAGGTTGACTCAGGCTCATCATGGACCATGTCAGGCAAACTTTCACTGTCTGACCAGTTGTGCAGTCCTTGGATAGAGGGTTCAACCTTTAGGAGCCTTTTAAACTGGATCTTCCTCTCACAAGGAAATTATTGGGGGGTGAAAAAATACTCCTCAGACTAAAAGCAGCCCTCCAGCTCTTCAGATTAATCCTTCACAGGGACAAGTGATCATGAAGCAGGCATCAAGCCTGGCTAAGGCACATGCATTTGTTCCACATGCCATTGCTGTGCACAGTCAGGCACAAAATATCTCACAGCCCTTCACCAGAGGCCTGAGGTCTTTAGGAAAAGGTTAGAAACCACAGGATGCAGCAGGAGCTGTTGATTGAAGTGAATTGTGTGTATCATGATCTAGAAGCACCCGTAAAGGTTGGTGTAACTGATGATGACCAGCTCAAAGGAAGGCACTTGGAGTCAACTGGCAGCTCCTCCATCCATCTGGGCGTTTCAATTGCCTCTGGAAAAACATTCTCTCTGTTACACCCTTCTCCTTTGTTCAATAGGCATCTTCAGGGTGACCCAGATCACAGAGAAGGCATGAGGGAGACGAACCATTTTCTACAAGATTTGAGGAGCAGGAGGGCACATCCCAATCCCCTGTCTTCCCATGGAGTCACTCCCTAGCCAAGCATCGCTACCCCTCAAAGAATCAACTCTCTGTCAAAGGCCCCTGGGATTTCCTTTTTACCAGTCAAGTTGAACAGAAAGGTTGTTTCTTGAAAAAAAAAATAGGAAAAAAAAAAGAAAAAAAAGAAGTAATTCCTGCGTGCAATAAAAAGATACACTATCTGCTGAATGAAATATAAAGGCTTCCCAGCAGCTGTCTCCTGAGTTTGCATTTACCGCTGCTCCTGATGGGGAGGCTTGATAAAGATAATGGGATTTTTTTACCTCCCTCCCCCTCTCCGGAAGGTGGAAGTGTAACAAATTGGATTGGAGTCTGTCTCTCCTTTGTGCTGGCTCGCCGAGGAGTGCTCAGATCTGATGAGAGAGGGGCCGGGGTGCCGCCAGCCAGGACAAAGCTGAGAGTGTTCACGTAGCGCTGTGAATGTGGATGTCAGGGTCACCTTTTCCTCCTTCCTGCCCTCCCTCCACGTTCTCTTGCTTCCAAGCATGGCATTTCCTTGCAGGCTGGTTGTGACCACCTCAGAAGGGGAGCGTGCAGTGCTCTTGTGAGACTAGGAAGAGTTGGAGGACCACAACTGGGGCTGCTTTCCCTGTTGTTGGTCAGATGCACGGTGAAGTGAATTGTATTTGGTTAAGTTTTCTAACCAAAATTGGGTGTTTTCTTCCTTGTCCTCTTCAGGAGTCAGACTGGCCCTTCCTCTTCCTCACCTGGCCCCTCTTTGCA